TCTAACTCCTGCTGACAGTTAATGTTAACAAACCTGTGCTTAAAAAAAGAAAAACTTTACTATTAAAGGGGTGGCTTTTCAGTATGATCTTTATTTCTGTAGTTTATGTTCTTGGATGAACTTTAACAATGAAGAGCAGGACTTAACATTTCAGTCTCAAATGAGATTTTAAAAATACAGTGCCAAGGGATATTTGGGCTGTTATAGGATACATTTAACCACAGTTTACACGGCTTTAAATATCACTGAATCTTACAGGATTCTCCAAAGCAAGTGTGCAGAATGAATAAGACCAAAAAGACAGGTTTATGATCCTAAGGTAGTATTTTCATGGGACAATAATGCTTAGCTAACTTTGACAGTTTCTAACTCAAATTTTGTTAAGATATGCAGTGGTCGGTCACACAGTTAAAAGTGAACCATTCAGCTTCAGTAATACTGTAAACAAAAGGTCTAAAAAGCCCATAGAGTTATTCTTTTGTTCTCACTGCTTAAAGTAAAAATAGAATAAATGGCATCTTAATGAACTAAAACTGCCTTCTATTTTAAAGCTCCCATACTCATTACGGCTGATGTGTTTTAGTAGAAACTGACCATAATATTGCAAACAATGCTACTGGTAGGTAATATCTATAATTATGAAACGTTAAATAGCTGCTTCAGAAAAGAACCCTCCACGCTGAAGCAATCTGCCTTACAAGGATCCTTGAGGCACACAATGGATGTTGGGAAAGGCCAATGTTGTTAAAAGGTAATTTTTAAATACCAATGTTTTTAGTTAGGTAATGCATGTATTTGGGTAAAAAACAGGTGATACTAATGAGTGCAATGGAACCTAAGTTCTCCCTTCACTCTGGCCTTTCAGTCTCCCAGATTTCCTTCTCAGAATCAACTTTTGTTAGAAATACATCGAATCTTTCCAGATCAAGTCCTCCGTACCTAGAACGCTTAAGGACAAACTGCTTTCTAGTAAGCTTGTGGGGAGCAATCCGGACTAGACTAAGTTACTCGAATTAGGACTTATTCTATGCATCTGCTCTCCCACAATATGGCGCTGGGAGAGAAGTAAACAGCTTCCGCACAGCTGCCTCCAGTTCAACCAATTAACTGTAGGACTTGCTCCTGATTGGAGAGCAGCGTACTCGGCGTGTGGGCAGCCGAGTTGGGATTGGCAGAGAAGGACTATAAAGGAGGAGAGAGACGGCATGCACCGGGAACATCTATGGGGAACATCTAAGGGAACCCGTGCAGCCCCCAGAGAGCCGGCCGGCGGTGTGCCGCTCCCCTGCGGAAGTGGGGAATGCGGCCAGGGGGAACTGCCCTTCCACGGAGGTGGAAGGGATAGTAGCCAACCCGGGAAGAACCAGCAGCAAACCCGGGGAGGGCCGAGCAGACGAAAGAACAGCGTAGGGTCCTGTGTCGTTCCTCCACGAAGAGGGGGAGCGACATAATGGTGCCGTGACTCGGATAGGAAACTTAGGACGGATATGAAACTTAGGAGGGAAGAAACGGGAAGAACTAGGGAAAATATCGGAGAGAGAAACTAGCAAACAGCCTAGGGAAAAGCCGGACGAAAAAGGAGCCGGAAGAAGCTATTGAAAGCCTAGGCATAGACTCGGATACGGACTACGGGGGGAAGCTGGGAGAAATCTCTAAGGTCGAAAGCGAAAGTGAAAGCTAGAACAAACAGACTCGGATGCAGACTGTGGGGAGAGGCCAGGAGAAATGAGGGAGGAGTATTGTTGGAGGAAAGCTTGGGAAATATACCGGGTAGAGAAAAATGTTAGGGAAATTGAAGCCGCGGGGGGCAGGCCGAGGCGGAAACGAAAGCCACTTTGGGGTTCTCAAGTTAGCCCGGGAATAGGGGGCGAAAAGTTGAAACCAGAAGCTGAGACGTAAGCCAGATTGGGATCCGTCTGATTAGCCCGGGGAGCAAAGGACGGGAAGCCAAATCGTGGGGCGGAGACGTACGCTGGGTTGAATTCGCCAGGCTAGCCCGGGGAACTTAGATTGAATCCTAGTGGCGGAGACGTGAGCTACGCTGTGTTACTCGCGGAAGCCGCCGCGTGCAGAGAGCACGGGGCGTGAATAGATAGGGAACGGGGCTGGCGTAGGCCGTGGTGCGGACGCGAAGGGCGTGGAGACCGCGGAGCGCGAAGCCAAGCCGCGCAAAGCCGGGAAGCCGCGCAGAGAGGCGCGCGGGCTGAAGCGGCTCAGAGCCGGCGAGGCGCGGAGAAGCAGCCTCGGGGCGGAGCCCGCTGGCGGGGCGAGGCGCCGGGAAGCTGCGCGGAGCCGTGAAGCTGCCGGCAGGGCGAGGTGCCGGGAAGCTGCGGGGATAAGAGAAACAGAAGTTTTAGAAGTAAAGTGAGAGAAATAGGAATGCTGGAAGATAGAAGTAAAATGGGAGAAGTAGGAATGCCCGGAGATAGAGAAATAGAGAAAAATAAGGCCTCCCCTCAACATGCAACAATTAGGAGGCTTGGATTCGGTCTGCCTGATTTAAGGCGGTAAGCGCCAGCAAAGCTCGACCAGAGTATGAGCTGCAGGTCACCGAAGATAGGCACGAACCAACACTAATAAGTCTCCCCCACAATAAGGCAATGAGAAGGCTTGGATTCGGTTTGCCTGATAGGTTTTGTAAGCCCCTGCGGGCAGAGCAGAGCATGCGCTGCAGGGCACCGAACACAGGCATGCATCAGCGCCTAAAAACCTCCTCACAATGGCGAAGAGAGGACCCGGATTCGGTTTGCCTGATGGATAGGACTTGTAAGAGCCTGTGGCAACTCTAGTGTGTGCCGCGGGACACCGAAGACAGGCGCGTATCAACGCTAAAAAATAAAAAGAAAGGGGGATCTGTGGGGAGCAATCCGGACTAGACTAAGTTACTCGAATTAGGACTTATTCTATGCATCTGCTCTCCCACAATATGGCGCTGGGAGAGAAGTAAACAGCTTCCGCACAGCTGCCTCCAGTTCAACCAATTAACTGTAGGACTTGCTCCTGATTGGAGAGCAGCGTACTCGGCGTGTGGGCAGCCGAGTTGGGATTGGCAGAGAAGGACTATAAAGGAGGAGAGAGACGGCATGCACCGGGAACATCTATGGGGAACATCTAAGGGAACCCGTGCAGCCCCCAGAGAGCCGGCCGGCGGTGTGCCGCTCCCCTGCGGAAGTGGGGAATGCGGCCAGGGGGAACTGCCCTTCCACGGAGGTGGAAGGGATAGTAGCCAACCCGGGAAGAACCAGCAGCAAACCCGGGGAGGGCCGAGCAGACGAAAGAACAGCGTAGGGTCCTGTGTCGTTCCTCCACGAAGAGGGGGAGCGACAAAGCTTACAACAGCAACAACAACAACTTGACTTGTGCTTGAAAATACTCCAGCATGCAAAAACAGCGTAGGTCGGGGAACATTAAGAAGAGGAAGTAGATACTACATTATTTTCACTGTAGCTCTGCCAACGCCACGGAATTCCTTTTCAGAAAGGTGCAACAATCAAACGCTTCGCCAGGGCGGCCAGAGAGGGCAGTGTGCACCCACGGCAGAGGCAGCAAAGCCGCAAATCCCTCCTCCCCTGGAGAAGGCTCTGCCCGGACTCTGCCCGGCCCGGCTCGGCTCAGGTTTGCCAGGTTCTGCCCGAATCGCTGCTTCTCGGCGGATGGGCCGCCTCCTCGGACCGGCCTTCAGGCCACCCTGACGACCCTACTGCCGCCGTGCGACATCGTTAACGGCAGCAGGGAATTCGGACAAGCGGCACTATCGGAGACCACGGTGCATGTGGTTTATCATGGGAGGAAGACAAACTCAATTTCTCATTATATAAACTGGGAGTTACAGCTAGGACAAACTACAGAATTTCAGAGTTCGTAGTGAAGGAATCACCAGAATTTATGAACTGACTGAAATATTCATCACCTAGAAAGTCCTAGGTGCAAGCTGCACCTACTATGTCAGTGTACAATTAAGATATTTTAAACGGCTGAAATCTCAGTTATGAGTTTAGGAGTATTTGGAGTTAATCTGTCTAATTAATGTCAAAAGCAAAATTACCCTGAACTCGCTAGGAAAACAAATTTGAAACAAAAGTGTTAATACGAAGTAGGAAAAAAACCTCCAAAAATATTCTATAGATGGTAGCACGGTCTTACCTCCTCCCTCTGTACATACACAAAATCACGTTATAAATACACAGACATCCAATTTTCAATCTAAATCAGAAGGGGGAGAGGGAAGTCCTTGATCCAGCAGTGGTACTGAGAACTTAAAAGATTTATTCAGTCCGAGTTTCAGAAGCAAGTTTGTATCACCACCTTTATTGGCTACCGTGTATCAATTCCTATCCCACATAACTCTCCCTGGGCAGCGAGGGCCGCTAGAACACGTCTCTGAGCTCCCGGCGAGCGACCGTTCCGTATCCAGCATCAAACACCAGCGCCCGCGTACTCCGAGACCTCGGGGAAGCGAGCGGGAAGAGTGCGGTTCGGGGGAGCGGGGCGTCCCGGGCGCTGCCCAGGGGCCGGCGGCCGGGTCCGCGGCGCCCGCAGTGGTGCCGCAGCCTTCGCGGTCGCAGCAGGTGGGATCCGGCCGGGCAGGCCCGCGCCGCCGCCCGCCGCCGCTTCTCGATCGGGGTTCCTATTGTTGGAGCGGCATTACTTTCTGCTGTGACAGGTTGCGAAGGGCCGGCCTGAGCTCCCGCGGACACTAAATCCCACAACTTCGCGCGGCGAGGTCAGAGGAATTCTCCCCGAGGCGCTGGGGGCAGAGCCTCCGAGGACCCTCCAGGAGCAACACGGCCCCAGCAAAACGCCTCGCCAGGCACGCAGGGCTGCAGGAGGAGCGCCGCGAAGCAAAGTCGGTCCGGAAGGGCGCGAGCGCTCGCGGGACGCTCGGAGCGGCCGCGAGCCCCCCAGACAAAGGGGCGCGTCGGGTGCCGGGCGCGGGGAAGGGACGCGGAGGCGCCGGCCTCGGCCCGCAGGGGGCGCCGTCCGCGGCCCCGGGCGCTTACCTTTGAGGACCGAGCAGAGCTGCTCCAGGGCCATGTTCCCGAGCGGCCCGGCTCTTCGCGAAGGGACTGAGGCGGCGGCGGCGCGGCGCTCACGGCCCTGCGCGGCGGCGGCTGCAGCCCCGCTCCGTCCCCATCGCCGGCCAGCAGGCTGCCTCCCCTCCCCGCGGGACAGGGCTCAGATGCCGCGGCCCGCCATGCCCCAGCCCCTCGGCGGGGTCCCGCGTCGTCCCCGTTCCCCGACGGTCGCCGCCTCCGACTGCGCGGCGTCCCGTTCCATCGACCGCCCCGGAGCTGAGGCGCGCCGAAGCGAAAGCACGGGACGAGGCGCGAGCAGCTCCGCCCGCGGCCGTGGCGCGGGCTCCACTGAAGTGGCGGGCGCCAGGCTCATTTAAGCTGGGAGCGCGAGCGCCGCGTGCCGGCCGCGCCGCCCGTGCGCATGTGCCCGCCCCCGCCCCGCCCCCGCCCGCGTGCCCCTGGCGCCCCTCCTCTCCAATCGCCTGGCGAGTCCGCCCGCAGCCTCGCGCCCTCAGCCCGCGGCGCGCGCCGGCCGGCGACCGTTATTGCTGGGGGCGGGGCGCGCCGCGGAGGCTTGGGGCCGCGGCTCCGGGAGCCCGGTTCTGAGGGAGAGCTGGCCCATCCCCCGCCGCCGTGGGGCGCCCGGGAGTGGGGCGGGGGGAGCAAGTCGAGCCCTCGAGGCTTCGGGCCTGAAGGCGTCCGCCGCCGCCCACCTCCGCCTCGGCAGCTGCTGCCCACCTGTCCGGTCCCCGGCCGCCCACGCAGGTGGGAAGGGGAGCCGACCCCCTCGGTCCTCCAGGACCTCAGTTCAAGGTCAAAACTGGGCCCCAGCTCAGCTGTGCTCGACTGCCCGCCTGAGGCAGGGAGGCCGGACCCGGGCAGAGCGGGCCGGCAGCGCAGGTGAGTTCCTGTGACCCGCGGTCACGATGGCTGCGTGCCCTGCGCGCTCCCGGCGTCGCCAGGCCCAGAGCCAAGCGCTGGCCATGTCCACACGCTTCCTCCCCAGGCTCGCCGGGGCAGGCACTGTCGTGGACGGGAAACCCGAGGCCAGAGAAGTTAAGTCGTTTGTCCGGAGCCACGCACTGGGTGAGGGAGCAGGGCTCTGAGCCCTGGGGCTGTGGCTCCCCAGCTAAGCCGTGCTGATGGGTCGCTTAACCCTGCTGCTGTCGAAGTCCGCGTTTGCCAACAGCCCGCGCAGTTGGTAGTATTGTCCTGTTTTATCTTTTGCGTAGCACTGTGACTCTGATCACCTGAATCTTCCCAGCCCCACCCTGTTCAAATATAAGCCGCTTGAAGACAGGGAGACTGGTCAGTGTTTTCACTGGATGCCGACTTATTGGATGTTCATTGTGCATAGAAAGCAATGAGTGTCACTGGGGAAACCACCAAAGGCAGGTCCTCCCATTCCTGATTGAATATTAGCGCCTGTACCCGGTACCTACTAGGATGTCATGAATATGTGACAAGCTTTAACTAAGCACAGTGTCGGGCTACTGGGAGGAAAATATTCCAAGGGTATCGGGCTCTTTTTCCTTTTCTTGTCTCCCTTCAAGAAAGGCACAAAAGTGTAATTCACAAGGGTTACAAATGAAAAACATATGTGACACCAATTAGTACCAAGATGCTTCTCCATGTGTTCTGGGGGAGATGTGAAAGTGGGTTCCTAAGGACAATCACCTGCAACTCAGATTGCAAGCAAGCACCAACCAATACGTAAGACATCTAGGAATCTTTTCCAAGGAAAAAGTAAACCAAGCAGGACGTGTACCATGATGGTATTTTGGTCCCTCCCAACCTGGGAAGGGACCGCTCCCTCCAGACACAGAAGAAAGAATCTATTCCACAGATGTAATAAAGGAGCATATATAGTAGCAGGAAGTAATAAGGCTATTAAGTCTAAGTCACAGAGAACCGTGAACAAAAAGGATTGGGAGGATGGGGCCTTCTCAGCTTCTGAAACAAAATAGATTCTAAATGCACAGTGGTTGAGTGAAGGAGAAATCAGTGTGTGTGATGTCATCAGAATGCTTGGTGGAGGAGGTGACACAAGGAATGGAAAGGCCAGATGGCAAGGGTAGAGGAGAGTGCATCAGGCAAGGAGCAGGAGGTGAACATTGAATTTATGGCAGATGTGTTTAGGAGCAGTTAAAATAGCAGGTTGAAATTGGTGGGCTTTGGTTCTGGAGATACAAGAATCCACAGGGGACTGGTTCCAGGACCCCTCTGGGTACCAAAATCTATAGATGCTCGAGTGCCTCAAGTGAAATAGCATTATGAATGGAGATGACTTTCGACTCCTCCTGTATGCTTTAAATCATGTCAGGTTGCTCCTCTAATGCAAACACTATGTAACTGGTTGTGCTACTCTGTTGTTTCGGGAGTAATGACAAGAAGTCTATGTTTGGTTTAGACACTTTTTTTAAAATCTGAATAGTTTCCGCTGGAGATTGGTTGAGTCCACCATAGATGCAGAACCCATTGATTCAGAAGTCGATTGTACTTGCTTGACTGATAGGGAGAAGAAATCTCTTTCACTTGATTCAGGAGGTCACAGGAATAGTTTTATTTAAAAATGTTTATTTTTATATACTTGAAAGGCAGAGCAACAGAGAGAGAGAGAGAGAGAGAATGCGAATCTTTGTTTCCTAGTTCACTCCCCAAATACAACAGCTGGGTCTAGATTAGACTGAAGCCAGAAGCTTAAAACTCCATTTGGGTCTCCCATGTGGGTAGCAGGGACACAAGTACTTGCACCATCATCTGCTGCCTCCCAGAAAGCATTAACGGGGAGTTGAATCAGAAGCAGAGCAGCCAGGATTCAAACCTGGACTCTGATATGGAATGTGAGTGTCCCAACTGGCAGCTTAACCTGCTGTGCCACACCACCAGCTCCCAGAGGAGCAGTTTTTAATAGCGGGGCTAATGGAGTTCTGAGGAGGTTAATCTGGCAGTTCAGTTGAGGATGTAAAAGAAGAGGAGAGATTAGAGAATCTGTAGTAATTTAAAAAGTAGATACATAGTACTTCTTCATTTAGCTTAGTAGCTCTTACTGGTAGTATCATTTTGATAAAACCTAGTATGTTGGCTTGGGAGTAAGTTGCAACTGAGAATGTTCACTTTGTGATTCCCCTTTAAGACACCTATCTTTTAGATGTGCTGGTGTAAGCATCTGTAGTAGGTTTTTCGAGGAATGTAGTAAAGCACAGATCATAGCTGAGACTACTGTGTGACCATATGTTAGCTAAATCAAAAGGAAAGCAGTTTGCATCTCTCTCAGCTGGGGAGTTCTGTATTTGAATTGTTATTTTCCCGGAAGACCACCTAGGAGCTCCTAGTGTGTTCCCAGATTACCTGCCAGTTTCCAGGTGATTGAGAACTGGGCTTTCACTGCATCCCACCTGTTCTTCCAGGCATAGCCACTCCAGTTCTTCACAGAATCATTCCTATAGCTTCAGTTTGGTTTTCTCTGACCCAGTCCCCTGTAGCTCTTGAATTGTGTTGCATGGCATTGATTGATTTTTTTGCATGAATCATGAATCATTTAAAACAATGAACAGTTTTATTCCAGTGATTATGTAATTGATTTATGTTGCCTTTTTTTTTTTCTTTTGTTGTAGTTTAGGAGTGGTAACAGTTTATTAAATGACATTTTACGAAGGCAGGTTGTTTTGTTTAGAGATTGATATTAACTGGATGTTTGTGTTTCCCCAGGGTATGTGGAAGCCCTAAGCTGCAGTGTGGCTATAATTTGAGATGGGGCCACTAAGGAAATAATTAAGGGTAAAGGAGGCCATAGGGTGGGGCTGGGATCTAACAGAATTAGTATTCTTTTAAGAAGATCCACCGGAGAGCTTGCCCTCTCGCTTCATGCCCAAGCACCAAGGAAAGGCCACATGAGGACAAAGTGAGAAGCTACCATCTGCAAGCCTGGAAGACAGAGCTCTCATTAGAAACTGAATTGCCTGGTGCCTTGATCTAGGAATTCCAGATTTCAGAACTGTGAGAAAACACAACCCTGTTGTTTAAGTGACCCAGTCTATGGTATTTTTGTTTTATCAGTCTCAGTAGACTAACACAGTGCTATAACCAAGGAAGTTAGAGGAATTTATAAATAGTCAAACTTTGAGGGGGTAGGTGTCACAGCACTGTGGGTTAAGCATGGCCTACAATGCTGACATTGCATATCAGAATGATGTTCAAGTCCTTGCTGCTCTGTTTCTGATTTAACTTCCTGCTAATGTGCCTGAGAAGGCAGTGGAAGATGGCTTGAGTGCTTGCCTCCTTGCCACCCATGTGGGAGACCCAGATGGAATTCCTCACTCGGGGCTTCAACTTGGCCCAACTGTGACTGTTGTAGCCATTTGAAGAGTGATGAAAGAGTTCTCTTTTTCTCTAATTGCTTTTCGTATAAACTACTCTTTAAAAAAAATAGCCAAGCTTTAAAATCAGACTCTCAAAGTGCTTTACCTACTGTGGGAACATAGTGATGAATAATAATGATGAAATTTAGTGGGGAAAAAAAAAAAGCTGGGCCAATCCAAAGCCAGAATCCAGGGGCCCAAGAACTTGGGCCATCTTCCACTGCTTTCCCAGGCCATAGCAGAGAGCTGGATCAGAAGAGGAGCAGCTGGGACTTGAACCGTCACCCATAACGGATGCTGGCACCGCAGTTGGAGACTTAGCCCGCAGTGCCACAGCGCAGGCTCCTGTAGGGATGTTTGAAGGAAGGAAATGAGGAAAGCTTTAATTTTTTATGTGCTGTATTAGTTTGCTTGGGCTGCTGTGACATAATACCAACCATGTCATGGGTGACTTAAATAGCAACTCATTTTCTGGAGGCTGGAAGTCTGAGATAAAGGTTCCAGCAAAGTCAGTTTCTACTGAGGCTCTTTCCTGCCTGTCTTCTCATTGTGTTGTCTTGTGCTCTTGACTCTGTACACATGCACCCCTGCTGTCTCTTCCTCTTCTTACAAAGAACACTAGCTCAGGGTGGGCGTTGTTGTATAGTGGTTAAGCTGCCACTTAGAATGCCTGCATCGCATTTGGGAATGCCTGGACTCAAATCTCACACTGCTTTCCATCTACTTCCCTGCTAATGCACACCCTGGGAAGCAGCAGGTAATAGTTCAAATACTTGATCCCTGTACCCATGTGAGAGTCCTGGATTGGGCTCTGGGCTCCTATTTTGACCTGGCCCAGTGCTGGTGGTTGCTGGCATTTGGGGATTGAGTTCTCTCCTCTTTTCCTTTCTCCTTCCCCTCTTTTTCTCCTCCTCCCTTCCTCCCTCTAGAAAACAAAGAACACCAGTCCCAGTGGATTAGGGTCCCACCCTTTTACCTCATTTAACCTTAATTGTTTCCTAAATGGCCCTGTCTTCAAATTTAGTCACAAACAGGGTTAGGACTTCAATATAATAATTTGGGGAGGGGCCTGCAAGGCATTGTGGCACAGTGGATTAAGGTGTGCAGATTCCAGTCCTAGCTGTTCCACTTCTGGTCCAGCTCCCTGCTAATGTGCCTGGGGAAGTAATAGGTAATGGCCAAGTATGTGGACCCCTCCATCCCTCGTGGGAGACCCAGATGGAGTTCCAGTTTGCTTGCTTCTGGCTGGCCCAATTCCAGCCATTGTGGCCATCTGGGGAGTGAACCAGAGGTTGGAAATTTTGTCTCCTTCTCCCTCTCTTTCCCTCTGTGTAATTCTAATTTTCCAACAAAATATATCTTAAAGAAAAAAAAAAAGAATTGGGGAATGACATGATTCAGTACATAAAATACATGAGCCAAAAAGTTTCCCGGTTTAATGATATTGAAGAAGAGCTGGGGCCAGCTTTGTAGAGCCAGCAATGATGCCAGCATCCCATATAGGTGTGGGTTTGATTCCTGGCTGTTTCACTTCAAATT